TTAGTAGAAATAGAATGCCTATGGCCCCCCTGGGGAGAGGAAGAACCTTGGTGGATCTCTTTATGAGAGCGAGAATGGCTATGGCCCCTTTGGTGAGGGGAAGAACTTTGGCGGTTCTCCTCCCGAGAGGGGGAATGCCTGTGGTCCTCCTGGGAAGAGGAAGAACTTTGAAGGTTCTCTTTATGAGAGAGAGAATGCCTATGGCCCTTCTGGGTAGAGGAAGAACTTTGGAGGTTTTCTTCTCAGAGCGAGAATGCCTCTGGCCTCTTTGGTGAGAGGGGGAACTTTTGAGGTTCTCATTTTGAGAGGGAGAACTTCTTAAGTCTTCTGTGAGAGATGTGGATACTGTGAGGCTCCCTTGGGTACTAGCATTGTCTCTGGGGTCTTTTTTGGAAGAACCCGAAGTTTTTAAGCACTCTTGCTCTGATGGGGAATTTCTAAAGCCCCTTTGAGCATATGGGGAATGCCTGGATCTCATGTTGGTAGAAGTGGAATATCTGGAGCACGTTTGGGGAGATGAATGTCTGTGTCCCTCTTTACCAGAATCAATAAGACCTAAGCTTCATTTAGCAGGGCTGGACAGTCCTAGATACCCTTGGGCTGCTAGTGATGATCCCACAGTCCCTTGGGCAGTAGCTGATACTTCCAAAGCCATTGGAGCAGATAGCAGATTAAGCAGAGCTTCATGAGAAGGCGAACGTGTGAGGCTCCTGTGGGGAGTAGTGCTTGGGTCGTTTTTGTCAGAACATAGGCTTCCTTTGGCAGAAGGAATGTGTTCTGATCTCATTTTCATAGAACTGGAAATGATGGGACCTGCATATTCAGCCTCACCTAGCAGCATCTTTGTAGAAGAAGATGCTTCCTGGCCCTCTTGGACAGACTGGGAGTGTCCCAGGTCCCCTTTTGCAGATGATGGTGTTCTTAAAGTTCCTTTTTCAGAATGGGTGGATGCTGAGGTCCCTTTAATAGATGTGGAAATTCCAGGTGCCTCTTCAGTAGATGAGGAAGATTGGATAGCCCCTGCTGTGTATGTTCCTGATCTCACAACCTCTGGAGAAGGTGGAGCCATCTCCACAGCACCTTGTTTAGGTGCAGGTGTTCCTAGGGCATGTTCTGTACATGGGGAAATTCTCAGACCACTGTCTGAAGATGGGGAAGCTGCTAAAGCTACTTGTGTACGTGTTGAACTTGTAAGAGCACCTTCAGCAGATGGTGACGATTCAGTGGCCCCTTGAGTAAGTATGTCCATTTCTAGAGGCCCTGGAGCAGAATGGGTGGAATCCAAAGACCCTTGTGAAGATGACGAATTCCCTACAGTTCCTGGTGTAGATGTGTCAGGCCCATGAGCCCCTTCGGTAGATGCCTCCTGATCTGGAGCACTTTGTTCACAAGAGGAATGTCCCAGACTGGATTGAGTAGTTGATAAAGTCTTCCAGTCTCTAGCAAAGACAGACAGTTTTCTAAGGCCCATTGGTTAGATGTCACACGTCCTAGAGAGCTCTGGGAAGAGTGAGAAAATGCCAGAGGCTCTGGGGAAGATGGTGAATGTCTCAGAGTCTCTTCTGAAGGTGGTAAAGTAACTAGAGTCTCTTGGGAAGTCAGAGGATTCAGAGAAATGGAGACAGACTGTGAGGGTCTCACCAGCCCTTGAGTGGATGGCAAAGTTCCTAAATCCCTTTGAACAGATGGTGAAATTACTTGGTCCACTTTGTCTGGCATGGAAGGTTTAAGAGCCTGTTGAGTAGATGGTGAGGGATCTCTCATGCCCTGGGAAAGTTGGGGCCATTCTACCATTCCTTGAGAAGACAGTGAGGATCCCTTAGTACTGTGGACAAATGGTGAATGTCCTAGAGTACCTTCCGCAGATGCAGAATGTCCCAAAGTTCCTGCCACTGATGGCACATGTGGAACAGTCTCTGGGTCAGGAAGCAAATGAACTGATGACACTTGAGCAGATGGATCATGACCTAAAGTCCCTTGGGCAGAGGCAGAGTTTTCTAGACTCTCTTGTACAGATGTAGAAGGAGCCAGAGCTGTTTCATCAGAAATCAAAGGTGCTGGAGCTTCTTGGGCCAATATGGAAGGTTTCAGCCTCCCTTGGGCACATGGAGACACTTTGAGGCCATCTTGCAGAGTACTGGTAGGTCTTGAGTCTCCATTGTAATCAGAGGTATGTTTCAAGATCTTTTGGTCTCCTACGGAAGTTCTGAGAGACCCATGGAGAGCAGGGACATGTCTCAATCTCATTTGGGTAGAACTGGGATGCTTGGAGTCTGCATGAGTAGATGGGGAAGGTCTGATTGCCTCTTCGTGGGAGAGGAAAGGAATGAAGCTCCATTCTGCAAGTGTAGACACTACCACTGGCCCTTGGAATACTACTGAAATTTCCTCAAGCCCTTGGGCAGACATGGAAAGTCCTAGATCCCCTTGTGCAGATGGCAAACGAGTATATGGCATAGTTTCAAGAGCCCCAGGTGTTGCTGGTAAGTGACCTAGCAAGTCCTCAGAAGATTCCAAAAGGCTAAATCCACTTTGAGTAGTTGAAGAATGTGTTAGTATATGTTGGGTAGATGTAGCAAGTTCAAGAGTTTCTTGCTTACTTCTCAAATGTTCTAAAGACCCTGGGGTAGATTTGGATGTTTCTAAAGTCCGAAGAACAGATAGCAAATTTTGTAGAGGACTTGGGGGAGATTGCAAACATCCTAGAGTCTCCTGAGCAGATGTGGAATGTTTCAGAGTTCCTGGGATAAGTGGTGTTAATCTTTGAGATGTTTGCAGAGAAGGAGAAAGAGTGATGCCCTTTTCTGAGTATGCAGCAGGTGGGATTTGCAAATCCAGGGATGTGGATGGCACTAGAGAGTCTAGTGCATATGTCACTGGACCTAGGACTCCTTCTATACCTTTGGAAATTTTTAGAAAACTTTCTGAAGATAGGGAAGGTGCTAAAGCCACTCGTGCATATGTGGAATTTTCAAGTGAACCTTCAGTACATGGTAAGGATTTTGTAGCCCCATGAGAACATGTGCCCATTCCCAGAGGTCGTGAAGCAGAATGAGTAGAACACTAAGTTCTTTGGGTAGATGAGCATGGTGCTGGAGACACTTGTGTAGATGGGGAACATCCAGGACTCTGTTCCGAAAGTGGCGAAGGCTCTAAAATCCCTTGTGTAGAGATGGGTGGAATATCTTGTTCACACAAGGAAAGTCGCAGATTGTTTTCAGTACATTCTGGAGGACATGGCCTCTCCATGACACAGGGAGAAGTATCTCGGGCCCATTGAGCAGAAGACCCTGGTCCTATAGTCCCCTGGGCAGCTTGAGAAATATCTGGAACTTCCTGTGCTGATGAGATATGTGCTAAAGGCCCCTTTGGTGATGGCAATGTTCCCAGAGTTACCTTGGAAGACACAGATGGAGTCAGTCTTCCTGACACAGACTGGAAGTGTTCCACAGTCCTTTGCATAGATGATATAGGTCCCAGAGCCCCTTGAACACATGGGGAAATTAAATCATCCACTTTTGCTGAAGGTTAAGGTTCCACAGCCCCTTGAGTAGAAGACAAAATTTTCAGTGTCCCCTGTGAAGGTTGGGACAGTTCTACATATCCTTGAGGAGATAGAGATGGTCCTACAGTATCGGGGAAAGATGGAGAAGGTCCCATAGTGCATTCTGAAGAGGCAGAATGTACCAAAGTTCCTTGCATAGGTGGCATACATAGAACAGCCTCTGATTCAGAAAACAAAATTACTTGAGACTCTTGGACAGATGGAGTATGACCAAGAGTTGCTTGATCAGAAGCACAAGAAGCTAGATGACCATGGACAGATGGAGAAGGCTCCAGAGACCTTTCATCAGATGGCAAAGGTCCTAAAGCCCCTTGGACAAGTGTGGAAAATTTCACCACCCCTTGGGCAGGTGGAGGGCTCCCTTGAGGGCTATCAGTAGGAGTTGGGTCTTTGTTGCCGCTGGGGGAAGATTGTGAGTCCTCTTCAATCACTTGGGGAGTTTCAAAGCTCCCCTTAATGGAGGAGTCATGTGTTGGTCTCATTTTGGTAGAACCGGAATACATGGGTCCTGCATGGGAAGAGGAGTAATGACTGAGTCCCTCTTCATGAGAGAGGAAAGGAATAAAGCACCATGATGCAACTGTAGAAATTACAACTGGACCTTGGAATAATATGGAAATTCCCTCAGTTCCTTGGGGAGTTGTGGAATGTCCTAGATCACTGTGGGTAGATTGCAAAAGACATGAAGTCACTGGAGCAGATGGAGAAGGACCTAGGACCTCAGGGGCAGACGGTGAATGTCTTAGTGTTTCCTGGGATGATTCAAAATGTCCCAAGCTGCCATGCACAGTTGAAGAAATTCGTAGAGCATCTTTAGCAGATGATGAGTGTTCCAGAGATGCTTGGGAAGATTTTGCCTGTCCTACTGGTTCAAAAGGCCCATGATCAGGTAGTGAAGATCCCAGAGCATGTGGGACAGATAATGAAAGGCCTAGATTCCCTTGGGTAGAATGAGAATTCTCCACTGCCCCTTTGGCAGATGGCAATGTTCCTACAGGTTCTTGCAAAAATGAAGAAAGTCCCTGAGTCCCTTTGACAGAAAGAGAGCATCTCACAGCCCCACGGGAAGATGGTGAATGTCCTAGAGTCAGTTTGGCAGTGGCCAAAGATTCCAGACCACCTTGGGCAGTTGGAGAAAGTTCCAGAGAACTTTTGGCAGATAATAAATGTCCATCAGTCCCTTGGGTAGATTTGGAAGTTTGCAGAGACCCTTGCACAGGTGGAGAAAGTGAGAGTCTCTCTTGTGGAGCAGGAGTAGGGATTGGGCCCCTTTTGCCAGAAGGGGAATGTTTGAAGTTCTGTTGTATTGGGGAAGTTCCTATGCCCTCCTGGACAGACATGACATGTCTCAATCTGATTTTTTCAGAATTGCAGTCCATGGGTCGTGCTTGGATGGAGGGTGACTGTCTGATTGCCTCTTTATAAGAGAGGAAAGGAATAATGCTCCATTGTGCAGCTGTGGACAGTACCACTGGGCCTTGGAGTAACATTGAAATTTCTCCTGCCCCTTGTGTAGACATGGGAAGTTCCCGGGCATTTTGTGAAGATGGGGAAGTACCTAGAGTCCCCTGCCCATATTTGGAAGTTCCCAACACACCTATGGCAGATAGAGAATATCCTAGTGCTTTTTGATTAGGTGTGGGTGTTCGCAGTGATTCTGGTGTAGTTTCCAAATGTCTTAGAGTCCCTACGACAGATGTGGGTGTTTCCAGAGCACCATGACCACATAGTGATTTTCCTGAATCTCTTTCAGCAGGTAAAGAAGATCCTATAGCTCCTTGTTTGTAGGATGACGTTAGGAGGGCCCCTTCAGCAGATGAAGATTCTACAGGTTCTTGAGCAAATGTGGCTTGTTCTGAAAGGACTTGAGTAGTTATGTTAGGACCTCTGTCTCCTTGAACACACAGGGAATGTTCTACAGCACCCGAATTAAATGTGAAACTTGCACCAGCTTCTTGTCCAGAAGGACAAGAGGCTCAATGACCTTCTGGTAATGTGATCAGTCCCTGAGCTCCATGGGAAGGTAGAGAAATAGCCAACCCATCTTGGCTGGATGGAGACAGGGCTCTGAGGAATTCTGAGTATGTGGAACATACAACTTCCTCTTGAGAAGATCTAGAAGTGGCTTGTGTATCTTGTGAGTTTGTAATAAGACTTTGGACTTCTTGAGCAGATGAGGAATGTTCTACAGCTCCTTGTGTATGCATAGATGCTTCAGTTCTGTCAGACCATGGAGAAGGTGCTAAAACCCCATGTATATGAGTTGAAGTGACAAGATCACCTTTGCTAGGGGAGGAGAATTCTGCATGTCTTTGTGCACTTGTGACCTCTCCCAGTGCCACATGAATAGACAAGGTAGGAACCAGATTCACTTGGTCAGTTGGTGAAGTGGCTAGGGCCTCTTATGTAGATGATGGCTGTCCCAGGTCGCCTGGGGCAGATTGGGAAGGTCCAAGAGACTTTTGGAGAAATGGACAAGTTCCTAGAGCTCTTTGGGTTGATGTGACCCTTCCTGGAGCCCCTTGTGATAACAGGGAAATTCCCACATGCCTTTGACCTGATGTGGAAAATGCTAGGGCCTTTTGTGTACGTTTGGAAGTTACAACAGCCCCTTTTATAGACAGGGAATGTACTAAGGAACGTTGTGGAGTAAGGGTTGAACTGTGGAGCCTTTTGAGAAGAGGGGAAGCTGTGAGCTCCCCTCCCATTTCTGCAGGAGGGGACATTCTTGAGTCCCCTTGGTCAGAGGCAGCATATTGTGATCTCTTTGGGGGAATAGTGCAAAATCTGGTAACACCTCGGGTAGATGGCAAATGTCTGACTTGCTCTTCATGAGAGGAAACACACACAAAACACTTTTTCCTGGATATGGATAATCCCCGATCCACTTGAGAAGATTTTGAATATGCCAGAGGCCATTCCCCAGATTTGGAGTTTTCTACCACATCTTTTGAGGATGTGGAAGTTCTCTTCCATTTTGCATGAGACAGAGAACCTGGTCTCCCTCGTGGGAATGTGTAAGGTCCTAGAATTCCTTCTGCAGAAGGGGGAGTTCGTAGAGCCCCTTCTTCAGATGGAGAAAATGCTAGTACCCCTTGTGTAGATGCCAAAGATTCTATAGGCCCTTCTGGAGAGAGGGGAGCTGCCAGAGAAACTTTTGAAGATACGGAAAATCCTAGGGTCACATTAGGAGAAGAGGGAGACTCTAGTGTACCTTTTGTAAATGCAGATGGTTCCAGAGACACTTCTGGAGATGGACAAGATCCTCGTGCAACTTTTGTAGATGTGGCAATTCCTAGAGAGCCTTCTGTAGATGGAGAATATGATAGAGACACTTCTCCAGATGTAGGAGTTTCAAAGCCTTTTTCTGTAGCTGAGGTTTGTTCTAAAGCCCCTTTTGCAGAGGTGGAAGGACCCATGGAAGGACCAAGATCGCCCTGGGAAGACTGAGAGAAGACCTGAGACCTTGGTGTGAATGTGACAGTTGTGTGAGTGTTTGGGACAGACATGTAAGGTTTCAGAGCCCCATGGGCACATTGCAATGTTTCAAAAGCCTCCTTCCTAGACCTGGACGGTTCAAGATCCCCTTGTTCAGATGTTGGAAGTGTGAGGCTTCCTTCTGGGGTTGTAAAAGAGCTAGGGTCCCATTTGGTATAAGGAATGTGTTTCAATCCCTCTTGGTCTCTTAAGGAATGTACCCCTTGTGTAGATGCCAAAGATTCTATAGGCCCTTCTGGAGAGAGGGGAGCTGCCAGAGAAACTTTTGAAGATATGGAAAATCCTAGGGTCACATCAGGAGAAGAGGGAGACTCTAGTGTACCTTTTGTAAATGCAGAATGTTCCAGAGACACTTCTGGAGATGGACAAGATCTTCGTGCAACTTTTGTAGATGTGGCAATTCCTAGAGAGCCTTCTGCAGATGGAGAATATGATAGAGACACTTCTCCAGATGTTGGAGTTTCAAAGGCTTTTTCTGTAGCTGAGGTTCATTCTAAAGCCCCTTTTGCAGAGGTGGAAGGACCCATGGAAGGACCAAGATCTCCCTGGGAAGACTGATAGAAGACCTGAGACCTTGGTGTGCATGTGACAGTTGTGTGAATGTTTGGGACAGATATGTAAGCTTTCAGAGCCCCATGGGCACATTGCAATGTTTCAAAAGCCTCCTTCCTAGACCTGGATGGTTCAAGATCCCCTTGTTCAGATGTTGGAAGTGTGAGGCTTCCTTCTGGGGTTGTAAAAGAGCTTGGATCCCATTTGGTGTAAGGAATGTGTTTCAATCCCTCTTGGTCTCTTAAGCAATGTCTGAAGCATTGTTGTGCAGAGGGGCCATGTCTCAATGTCATTTGGGTAGAACAGGAATTCTTGGGGCCTGCACAGGGAGGGAAAGGAACTGTGACATCATCATCATAAGAGGGGAAAGGAGTAAAATGCCATTGTGAGGACACAGGCAATACCAAAGGCCCTTGGAATGAAACAGAAAACCCCTCCTTACCCTGGGGAGATGTGGAAGTTCCCAGATCACTCATTGAAGTTGTAAAGGACCGAGAGGCCCTGATACAGTTGAAGAAGTTTGCACAGCCCCTTGTGGTAGTGTGGCCAGTTCTAGAGACCCATGGATTGGTAAGGAAGTAACCACCCCATCTTGTCCAGATAGAGAAGGGACTGTGGCCTCTTCCCAGTATGTGGAACATATAATTGCCTCTTGGGACGATTCAGAAGGGGCTTCTGGTCCTTGTGTAGTTGTAACCAGGCTCAGAGCGTCTTGGGCAGATGAGGAACATTCTACAGCTAATTGGCTATACATCAAAGTTCCACGGATTGCTTCAGGAGATGGGGAAGTACTTAAAGCCCTGTGTGTAGTAGAGATGCATACCTCTTCCTGAGCCCCTTTAGGTTGGAATTTCCCTAGAGCCTATTCTGAATATGAGGAAGATGATAGATCACCTTGTGTCAATGTGGAGGATCATAGAGACTCTCCTGAAGGTGGGGAAGATTCTAGACTACCTTGTGTAGATAAGAAAGTTCGAAG